TTATTGTGAACTTTTGACGGAATTCATTTTCCATCAAAATCTATTATATAAAATAAATAAAAAATAAATTATATTTATGAAGTTTCGACGGAATTCATTTTCCGTCAAAAATTATTATATTAAAAGAAATTATTATTGTGAATTTTCGACGGAATTCATTTTTAGTCGAAAACTATTATACAAAATAAATCAAAAAGAAATTATATTTTTATGAATTTTTTACGAAATTCATTTTTCGTCGAAAACTATTATATAAAAATAAATCAAAAAGAAATTATATTTATGAATTTTCGACGAAATTTATGTATTGATATAAAGTTCAAAAAGGACTTAGAGAAAATTGGTTCGTAATTATGAAGTCAGTTTCGTCTTGTGTATTGATATATTAAATTTTATTTGATAGTTTTTTAAGGTTACAATATATACTTATTGTACACCTCTAGCTAATTGTATAAGTCTTTTTTTATGCTTAGCCTAATATGTCATATGAACTTTTGTGAATTTAATGTATTGATTAAAGAGATTTGATTTTGATATATTATTTACTTTGATTATATTTTTTTATCAAGAATACAAAAAATTGATATTGATTTTGTATAGAGGAATTAAAAAAAAAGACTAAAATTTTTCGACAGAATTTGTTTTCCGTTGAAAATATTTATATCTATTTTTGAATGAAATTCTTTTATTTTCCCTTGAAAATTTTCAACAGAATTTATTTTCCGTCAAAAATCACAACAACAATTTTCGACGAAAAATAATTGATTTTCAGTCGAAATTTTTTGACGGAATTCATTTTTTGTCGAAAACCACCACAACAATTTTCGATGAATTTTATTTATTTTTCCATCAATTTTTTTTGAAAGAATCACTAATTCCGTCGAAAAACTTTATTTTTGACGAAATTTTAACGTCGAAAAAAAAGCATTTTTTAGTAGTGACATGTAGGTGTAGGATAACATGGTATAAAATATAGAGTTAGTCCAAATTATTTTGTAAACATGTGCTTCGGTACTACATATACTTCAAAGCTGAGTTATTTTTTTTTTTTTCCCGGTTTTTCAAGATATACATAGGCCAACGGCGGAAGATTTCGAGATGGGAAATCACATTAAATTGATAAATTTCTCCAAAACAATCTTTTCTATATACATAATCAAAGATCGAATCCTTGCTTAAAAAATTCAACTATACAGCGCTTTGTTGGTAAAGCTGAGTTATTCTTTCGAATTAAAGTTTCATGCATTCTAGCATGATGTGATGTACCGAGACAAAATGTGTTTTAATTGGTGTGTTTGCTTTGTGCTCTTCCTGATTCTACATTTGGCTGTGAGTCGTGGCTGAGAAACAAATTTTTTTTGTTGATTAAACAAGCACGAAAAGTAGAAAAGGTCAAATTGACCAAATTAAAGTTGCTGCTCCTATTCCTGCGTTGAACGTACTTTTTTTGTTTGTTTTAGATTTGATTTTTCTTGATACGGGGACGAAAGGAAGAAAATTATACAGTTATAATAGGTTTCTACAGGTCGGGGTTGTATCGTGTCTAATCCGACGCGAATACAAAATTATTCAATCTGCACACGATAAGTATTTGTTTAAGTGTTAACAATTTAAACTTGGACACAATCGGTCGTGCCACACGAAAAATTTGGGACTTTGATTTTTTTTTCTTAGAAAAATTGAATATAATAAGAAAATCTAAAAATTCCAACATATGTTTTGATATATTGTGTCGCGGGTCAACCTTCATTTCACGATACAATTTATATATGCTCATGTGAAGTTATCAAAATAAATTTTAAAGCAATATCATTTTGAAATTGCAGGAGATAATTTTATTTCCTGTGATATGATAAACTTTTTTTCCTAGAATTAAATGGCATCGGTAAAAATGTTTTCTTTTTGATTCCTGCATATCTCTAGTCTTTTATTCATAGATTATCTATTAGTATTAGGATTGACTTCTGTTAAAATTAAACTTATGGCATGGTAGTTCGTAATCACGAAAGAATTAATTTCACACAAAAGTTTAAAATATTACGTGAAGGTCTTTTCAATGATTATATATATATATATATATATATATATATATATATATATATATATATATATCTATAACATGACTCTTCATACGAGTGCTCACCAGGCTTGAAGGACGGATAATGTACAAGCTCACCTAGCTACCTGTACTAAGAAACTATACAAGACTTAATTATTTATTAATTAAATGGGGATGATGAGGATCAAACCTGTGACACCGAGGCTCTAATACCATGTAAAGAACTAATTCAATCCAAAAATTTAACCTGTTAGGAGAAGTTACATTAATGGTTATATATATATATATATATATATAGGGGCATGATATTCTTACACTGGTGTAAGAGTTAGAAGTCTTACACTTAATCTTGACCATTGATCCACTTGTATCCAACGGCTCATATTACTAAAAAATTTGACCCCTTAGATATAAATGGGATCAGTGGACAAGATTAAGAGTGTAACTTACACTGGTGTAAAATGATCCTAACCCAAATATATATATATATATATATATATATATATATATTTATATATATATATATAGGTAGGATCATTTGACATCAGTGTCAAATTTGAATTTTGACACCTCATCTAGGAGCCATTAGATCAAAAAAGATCAACGACTCTGATTTGTAAGCATGTGACACCATTGATCTTTTTTGATCTAATGGCTCCTAGATGAGGTGTCAAAATTCAAATTTGACACTGGTGTCAAATGATCCTACCTCGTATATATATATAAGATATTCCAATATGTTCATTGTTTCACAACTAGTCCAATTCGGGGCAGATCTCGGAATTAAGTCTTTAAACCTCTCCCAAATATAATACTAGAGAGAATCGAACATGTGCTCTCACCCTCACTTACTAAGTTCTCTGGTGCCAACTAAATTACCATCATTTTGTGGTTTTATACTTCTCTAAGAATTTATATGTGCTTAAAGAAAAAGATGAAAATTCTTACGGCTTAATTCTTACATAACTTTAGCTTGACTCATTTAAAATATATACTAGAGACTTTTAAATAGATTATATTAGATAATAAACTAACATAAAATATTATGTTTAAAAACGAATTTGGCTCTTTTAAAACAGGGATTAATATTTTTCTTGTCACAATAAATAAAATTATATCCGTTTTGGGATTTAATATTAAAAATAAAGACTATTTTGGTAAGATTTATAATACAATAAGAAAATAAAATTTCTAAAATAACCCTTTTTTATCATAAACCTCAAAACGATGTCGTTTTGTATGGTAGGAAATAACTTTATCTTCTGAAATAAGAGAAAAAAATTTCCATTTAAAATAAGTACTACACTTTTAAGGATAAATATAAAAGGATAACCATTAATTAGAAAATGGATTACTGAATTAAAAACGTCCGTTTAACTCAAAATATGAATCGAAAACCTATAGAAATGACCATCATGTCCCGCATGCTGTAAGCAATGGCAAGCAGGGTCAGAGTTGTGGGGAGCACCCGACCCAATTATAAGGATTCTGATTGCGAATTGCGCAGCCGGTAAGGAAAAGCAAACGCTAAGGTCCGATAATAAGGATTGCCAATTGCAAATGTTTAAACCTTCTTTTCACCTTTTTTTTTTTCATGTTACTTTATGGTCCAAGTTCTATTGACAAATTAATTTATTGTAGTCATACCAAGTCAAAAAAGGTCAAGGGCACTACGCAACTGGTCGATACGACCTAATTGTAATTAATTATAAACTATTTTAAATATAAAATAAAATAATCCAAACACAAATGAATAATTTTTCATTTTCACTTCTACCTCTTCATTTTATTATCTTACCAAAATAATTGTACCCTGATGCTTGTAAGCATGATTGGTGTTACGAAAGTATCAGGTGGGGAAAAAGCACAAAATTATACTGTGTCAATCTATATTTAGTTAAGATCATATATAGGGTTTTTCACTTCTGCAGTGATGACAAATGAAATTTTTTGCAGCAAATATATTTACAACAGGAGCTGAATACAAATTCTGATATTTAAAAAAAAGAAGAAAAAAAAGCCAAAATTCACATATAGATCCTGACTTTCTATGTATTGTTGCAAATTTTTTCATCTGCAGCAAAATAAGAAGTATATTTGCCTCATATATATATATATATATATAGCTATATCAAATTTTACTTCAAAATCAAGACTACTTGTGAGCGTTTGAATCATGTGATGATGAGGTTAATTAAATTGAGTGATGTTGGAGTTGGTTGCTTAGAACAAGCGATAACAAATTCATGAAACACCACGTAGCGCCATATATATATATATAGATATATAAGGGGCGTGGACATGAGGGGTACTGTAAAGAAAGAATGAGAGACAGTGCGAGCGTGGCTGCTATCATTTCAAATAGCAGTGTGCTTTCTTGAAAGCCTTGGGATCGAAGGGAAGGGATTTTTAATCATAAGTAGGGAGAATTTGTAATATCAGAGATGATAAATCGCACTTAGTTGAAAGAGTGAGCACAAACAAAAAAAGAAAAGTGGGTGAAGAGATAAAGGACAAAATTAATTATTTATTTATACACTCAAAGCTGCAAGAGGGAAAAAGGGAAGGAAAAAAGTGAAGTTGGCAAATAATTTTAAAGTCAGAGATAGAAAGAGAGAGGGAGAGAGAGAGAGAGAGAGAGAGAGAGAGGGGTATGCAGGGTATGGAGATGAAATATAGTATCATGATATCTCTTCCTTCCTTTTCAAGGATACTTTAGTGAGATGAAAACATGAAAGAGTAAAGAGGAAAACTGAGAAAAAGTTGGGAAAAGCAGCGAGGTATGTGGGTGTCACCTGGAACTGTGTTCCTTTGAATACAGTGGCATAGATTCCGTTCGCCAAAGCTTGCTCTACTTAATTTTAATCACTAACCACTCATCTTGGGATTTTCAATCTTCCTTTCCCTTTTAACACCATATAATAATTTTTTTTCATTATGGAATCTAACCATCTCCATCACCTCCAAGACCAAACTCCTCCGCCTGATGAGCCTTCTTCCTATGGAGTTGTGGGCAGTAGCACCCATTCTTGGACCCCAAATATCACTTTGTAAGTCCCTTCTATACCTAATTCAATATTATTCTTCTTATTACACTTCACTCAATTAATTATCCAGTTTTTTCTTCCCCTGTTTATTAAAGGATTCTACTCATTCCACATGTATATATATATATACATAAATAAACTGACAATGAAATGATCATTTATTGTTGTAATTCTACCATCTTTTATGTGTTTGGAACTTGTATATAAATTTGTACTAGACTAGGGCTTTGTCTTCTCTTCTTTCCCATGAGTAAGAAAGCTAGCTAGCTTTCGTATTCAAAGTAAAATAAATATATAGAATCGTTTTCTAATCCTCCTGTTTACATTATTAATAGGAATGCAGGTAACTTCAACCCAAACCTCCAAGAAGGTAATCCAATATCAAGAACATTAACGCACAGGAACGATATTCGGGTCCCTCAACGACCTCTAAACGGTTCTATGATCCAAGATTTAGGTTATCATCACTGGACAAGTACTGATGCAGAAAGGTGCTTAGAGTTTTCGAAGATTAAGGAAGAGAACTCGGTTGATTTCCCCAAATTCAGTGAAATGCTAAACAGACCTTCGAGCATGGAAGGCTATCAACTTGCTTGTACTACTTCCACAACAAACAATCAGATGAAGAATATTGAGCACAAAGATATGAATGCTCTCAATGAGAAGCTCTTGTTCAAGACCCTTCTTTCCGGAGACTTGTACTCCTCTACTAGTGCTCAAAATTATCCTAATTTTGGTGGTACTAGCATGCCAAGTAGAGGAAATTTCAGCCAGATTTACCCAAGTATAAATATCTCAAACTTGAATCAGTCAACCACTTACAATTCCACAGAAATTTCAAGGTCGACCTTGGATATGAACACGCAGTCTTTAGATCTATTAACCACAGCAAGATCATACAGTGAGGGTTTGAGCCAGCATTCACAAGATCATGATGGTCTTGGTAGATTTCCTGACAACGTTTCTTTTCATCTTCATCAAATGCAGCTCTCCAATGACAGGTCCTCGTGTGGTAACTCTAGTAATGTAAGTATTTCTTCCTTCTCCTAATTTTCATTTATATCTTTGGAAAATTTAAGATCTCAAATTCACAACCATTCTCACTCTTGACTCATCGTTTATTTAGCTAGTGGCGTCAGCAGCATATTCCGCACCCCCTAGTTAAATTATAGCCCAGTTATAACTTTTAATTGAATGGACAGATATGATTTCAATTCTTTGTTATTCACTGTGATATCTTAAACAGCTTCTAATTCAAAAAAAATAAAAATAGTCTGTTGAGTATTTTTTATCCCAAGTATATATATATATATATTTGCATGTGTACATTCGCAAGTGGTATTCAATTTTTTTATACTACTTATTTTATCTACAAAACTACATGAATAATCTAATGAATATACTAATTGATGAAATTTGACCAGCAAGCGGATAAGTTTTTGAAAAAAAAAAAAAGTAGATACGCTTTACAGTAATTTTTTTTTTATTAATTTGTGGCAACGAGAAACAGCCTTCTCTTTTTTGCCACATTAGAGACATACTCCTTAGCTTTAAACATGGTACAGTATCTTTAATCAGAATTTATCTTCTTTTTCTTTTCTTTTGCCTTCTTTCTTACTTTCTTTTTTCCTGTTGAAAAAGATCCGGTCACTTAAATTATGAATAGACTAGTCTTTACTCTTTTCGTTTTTCTTGCATATGCCATAGCCATCACATTTCACCAATGGGACGGCAGAAACAAAGAGACCCTGCACTTTGATGGAGTCAAAGACTTCTCAATCTCAAACAGCATCAAAGAAATCACGATTGGAATCACGCCCTTCATGCCCACCCTTTAAGGTGCCACTTATTTTTCAATTTTTATGTATAAAAAGAGGAAAACAATAACCAATGGATATATGCAATCATCTGGAATCCACAATTCTAAATATTATATTCCTGACCGTACGTTTATGAACTGGTAAAATTAGCTAACCTACAATGTTCTTGGTACATATATGTTCAAAGTTTCCTTTGCAATTTATTGTTCACAACATATATATACTTAAAATATTATAACAATATACATGGTTTGCGTATCCATTTTAAACTTTAATTATATATATCGTATATAGAAGTGGTGCAGGTTGCACTGACTTTAGTTGAGATTATAAGCTTTTGCATTAATTTTTTTGTTCGAAATTAACCCTTCAGGTTAGAAAAGAGAAATTGGGTGATAGGATTGCGGCTCTTCAGCAGTTGGTGGCTCCTTTTGGCAAGGTACAGTACTTCCACAATTAATCATTAGTACATACGTATTTAAGTTGTTATAGCTAGGTTGCGTTACTTTCAAATGATATGTTTGACTAATGGGACCTGAACAACACACACTATTTATGAAAAATAAATAAATTAAAATTGATCTTCCAGTGCATAAATTCATAAATTATATCTAGTGGTAATGAGTTTTTGTATGCACAAGGTGTTGTTATATAACATTACTCATTGATATATGCATCAATGTCATCAGTGGCGGAGTCACGTTGGCATTGACTGATTTTCAAAAATAATTGGCTTTCTATTTATAAAACTATGAAAATAATAGAAATTATGAAAATAAGTGCTTTCTCCTATATGAAACTGTAATATTCAATATGAATGTGGAATGTTGCAGACAGACACAGCATCCGTACTCATGGAGGCTATTGGATACATTAAATTCCTTCAAGGTCAAGTCGAGGTACTTATATTTTCCACTCTCTGACAATGATCCCCTTTTGACTTAGGAATATTACCCATATTATTCCTTGATTCTTATACCAAGTTAGCCCTAAAAGCTAGGTGTAGGGTTTCAATTGACTAATAAAGCTAGCTAGCATCCTAGCTGATTGTATTTGCCCATTGAATTGATTCTTACAAATTAAAGTCTTCATCTTACAGACACTGAGCGTTCCTTACATGAAGTCATCGCAGAACCAGACCAACAGAGTAATGCAAGGGGTAAGGGTTCTATTAATTATTATCATAGAATACAACATATGCACGTGGACATGCATGAACACATTCTCGTTTAGCATGCTTTAATGAAAGAATATGAGACCAAAACATATATACGCTCTAAAAGCATACTGCTTATTCAGCACATGGTTGTCATTGAAATTGCATGCCTCGTGTTCATAATGTCAGGGTTCAGCCATAGGCGCCGACGCAAATGGGGAACCAAAGCAAGATCTTAGAAGCCGAGGCCTCTGTCTCGTGCCATTGTCGTGTATGTCGTACATAGCAGGTGATGGGGGAAATGAGGTGTGGCAACAACCAAACTTCGGTGGAGCTACCTAGTAGCACCTTATTTGAATTAAAATCAAATGAAAGTTGACCATCATGATCTAAGTAAGGGAAAAAAAGAGATAAAGAAATACAATATCCTGATGGGCTGTCATAAATTCTAAGCTCATGTTTGTTAGGACTGAAAAAACAAATCCCCATTTTATCTGTGTTTAATGGAGCAAACTTGGTCTTCCTTCAACAGAGTCAAGGATAGCCAAGTTTTATCCATTAAAACACATCTTGTACCATTAATTTATAAGTACTTTTCCCGAGCTATTGTTTATTTAGGGCTAACATGATTTTGAGCTTAATTTCTTGGCGTGCATGCTTATCAAGTTTATTTATTAAAATGAATTCTTACTTCAAAAAGAAAAGCAAGGGATTCTAATCATTAATGTAAAAATCAAAGGTTCATATTACGATAAAACACATGTAAATACTAATAACAAATCATAGAATTGTTTGAGTTTATTTCTTAAATTTTTACAAGAGCTTATTTTTTCCTCTAAAACGAATCTTGTTCAATTGGGCCGGGAGGTGATATCATCATTCATACTTGTGAAGGAAATGATTGTTCTCATGGGCTGCCATGGATAATCTTCTTGGGAGTAGGCCTGCACTCCCATCAGCAATGGGTAACTTGGTTTTGACGGATCTCATGGCAGTTTTATTTATTAAAATCTCTTGCCTTTCTTCTGTTGTACCAGAAATATATATATATATATATATTTTATTGTAGAGTTATTTTATAATTTAAACTTCTTATTACACTAAAATAGTTTTAAGCCATTAGTGTATAAGATCATAAGTTTAAGTATCAATATAATTTCATTATAATAAAAAAAATTGTTTTATATTGAAATTGTTATTTTATTAACACTTCATTAAAAAATCTTAACTTTTTTAAAATTTCTATCGTAATCAAATTTATTTTTAATGCTGCGATACAATATTAATTAGCATAAGAAACTTTAATAAAAATATTAAAAGTGCATCCATATTTTATTCATTTTTTTTTTTTAGAAACTTGAAATTAATTTTATGTTATCATTTTTGTAAGGCGAATTCCTACGCTCACTTGTCTTCTCATTTTACGGAAGACTTCAGCAGATTCTATTTTCCTCACACGATATTTTATACGTACAGACAGTTACATTGTTTAATAACAAAAGCTCATAATAATAATACTAAAAAAAGAAAGAGAAGAAGCTCATAATAAAGCCTTATCCATATCATAGGACATGTGTTTGTGCACGTGGCTCTGTTGCGTAATCTTGATTAAGTTGGACGCCTGCAATGCTGTACCATCAATGACGCCACGTCATGTTTGTCAGGCTGGCCGAGGCTTTAATATGATGAAAAGACGTAAATGCCCTTACGTGTCCCACCAAATATCTTCGTTATTATCTTGGTAATTACGTAATTATGAAATTCATTGGTGGCCAGTGCTTGATTAAAAACTTAATTAATTACGGTTACTTTCTGTTTTTTATTTTTTTGTCATCTGTTGTGGAATGGAAAACATACATATCGTGTGGAAGCAAACAATGCATTCACAAAGCGGAGAAAAGGATAACGTTACCATGCCTTGTCTTTTCTTTTTCTTAGTTTCGAGGTAGTTAAAATTTTGATTTAACTTTACAAAAAAAAAAAAAAAAATTTGATTTAAATTTGTAATTTTATGATTTTATGATTTTTTCCAATCAAAATGATTTTATTAAAATTTCAAACGCTTTTACAATTTTGTTACGTTAAGATTTTATGATTTATAATTTTTTATTCTCCTTCTAATTTTAATCAAAATTTCAATTTTAACTACCATGTCTCAACTTTTCAGTTTATTATTGTTCAGTTGTAAGTCACATTATACACGCTTTGAAAATTGCAAGGTAAGTCGTAAATTGGCCTTCAAAAAGTTTTTTTTTTTTTTTTTTTTACTTTCTTATCGAACTCAACTAAGGACAACTATAAAATTAAAGTTTTATATCTATCATTTAACATGACCATAATAACTTTTTTACACACACAATATTTTGTGGGACTCGCAATTTTTAAAATAAAAAAAAACTCCGGCACGCAAAACGAATTTCTATAACATAACACAATCATTTTTCCTACGACATAACTTTTATAAAATTTATAAAATTAAGTTAAGTTTTTTAAACTTTGTTATGTGAGTAATATTTCATTAGTTTTAAACGCACATCTTCTATTTTTATCACGTCTATTCACACTAACAAATCATTGGAATTATAATATAAAACAATGACATAACACAAAATGGATAACTCTAACCTCAGGGTTACTTAGATGGAATGATACTATAGTTCCAAGGTGGTGGTGGTGGTGAGGTGAGGGGTATAAGAGTGATTTCACTTTTATTATGTGACGCTGATAATGATGATGATCATTCAACGTGGATTTAAATATCTTGGTCACACAACACTCACACTACCAAACATGTCCCTGTTAATCTCTCTTTATCTTATCACTAATTTCTCATTTCGTTTCCTTCTTACTTTGTACATCACTGTTAATATACCTTCTCAGTTCTCTTCCTTCTTTTTATTTTCAGATCTCGATTTTCCTTTTCAATTTCTACATGATCTTTTAATATGCACCGATAATAAAAAAAATAAAAAAATTCCCGATTGAACCCGGCAGTCGGTGAAATCATAAGCGAGTTTTTTCATGCTTGTTGCGGTGATCGGTGACTGACTCTGATTCTTCAAGGTGCGATTTTGGTTTTGAATTAATCCATTTTCTGTGAACCAAAATAATCAATAATTTGAGAGAGGTCGCGTTATTGGTGTAGTAGGTTTTGGGAATATGGTAGATAGAATGGGTTCTCTGAAAGGACAAGTTGTTTGCCTCACTGTTCTTGCTAAAGTAGGAGGGTTATGCAGTGTCCCTATGACTGGACCAATGAACTACGCTAGGTGTATTAGAAGTGAATTTTGGGGACTCAGTGCTACCAAAGCTAAGGCCAGTGTCCTTTCTTGCCATATAAACATGAGAAAGTGCAAGGCTGTGAATTGCAGTTTCAACTCACCCTCAAATGGCGGTGGAAGTATGGCTGAAAATTTTAATGAAAAAGATGAAGATTTTGTTAACTCCAGTGTTGTTGAAGCTGGTATGTTTGTTTAGCTACTAAATTTTTTTGATTGATTATACTCTGCCTGAGTTAGTAATTAGTATGATTAAATATAACTATGTAGTGCATTGTTTCTTGATGGCAAACATTGTTTCCTCCCTGTGAAAATTGATTTGTTCTTCTCTGATTTTGCTGTTTAGTTGAGGTGAAAAGTGGAGCAGATGGTTTCCTGATCAAAATGAGGGATGGTAGACACTTGCGATGCATCCATAACAACCCCCACGGAGGACTTCTTCCAGATTATGCACCACATCCTGCTATTGTGTTGAAGATTGAGGATGGGACTGGTCTACTTCTCCCCATAATTGTTTGTATGTCTTTTACCCTCCTCGTGTGTATTGTAATTTGTATCATATGAGCTTACTTCCTGGATCTTACATCTGATTTTGGTAATTATATATCATTCCCATTGTAAATTAGTGGTTCATCTTTATTTCAGTGGACATGCCAAGCGCATTATTGATGGCAGCAGTACGCAATGTTCAAATAGTATGTCTTCTTTGTCAATTAAATTTCATTAAATTAACCTCACACTTATCCTGATACTTACTGTTCCTAGTTCTTCCTGGATGATTATTAGTTATATTTTGGATCCAGAACGATTCTGCTTTTGTGCAACATATCTCATGGATACTAACTACTTGGTTGCTGGATCAGGCTAGACCTACTATGTATCAAGTTGTGAAGGAGATGATTGACAAGATGGGCTATGAAGTATGATTTTGTTTATCTTTGAAATGTTTAAACACTCCAAATCCTGCTCTCACCCCTAATATTGATTATACTGTGATCTTTAGTTCAGGCTCTCATAATAATATTAATAATCAAATGATATAATTTCCTGCCTATGCAGGTCAAACTTGTCAGAGTTACTAAGAGAGTTCAGGAGGCATATTTTGCTCAGTTATATCTTTCCAAGGCATTTACTAACTTTACACACTTCCACTCCTCCTACTCACCCCCACACCCCCCCACCCCCCAAAAAATAAATAAATAGTAATAATAATAAAACCGCCCAAAAGTGTTATATGACAGTATGACTTATATTTGGTATAGGTTGGAAATGAGGCAGAATGTATTAGCTTTGATCTTCGACCTTCAGATGCTATCAACATTGCAGTGAGATGCAAGGTAATATTTGTAAATTCAATCATATGAATTCATTATCACATGAAGTGTACTACATTCTCCTATTGCTTTGATTGGTTGTTGATTTGTGTCTTGGTTGATGTTAGAATAATCAGGTGCTTCCTGGAGAAAATTATTTGACATTTTTATTTTTGAAAAAAGCATAATTGTTGAGCCAAGTTTCATATGCCTTGAATTCACTGTTGGAATGTTTTGGCAAATGTTGCCAATTGTTGATCCTGGATGTTTATCAGAGATTTAACTGTTCCACCAATGCTTTAGGTGCCGATACAAGTCAACAAGTATTTGGCATACAGTGATGGAATGAGAGTAATTGAATCAGGCAAACTTTCAACACAGTCCCCTGGATCAGATGGCCCATTATTTACTGAACTAGACCGGTAGGTTTTTGAAGAAGATACATTATAAGGCAACATGGCTTGTCTGTACATGCATAATATCTTTTCTTGACATTCTTTTTTTTTAAAAAGAAAATATTGGAATCTGTCTCATTACTAGCACTTTGTCCATAGTGAAAGACAAGTATTAAAAGTGACAGAGTTGCAGGCCAAGTGGTAAGCCTTGTGCTGAAACCAAGGAGTTCAATCTTCTGCACAACATGTTGAAAGCTGTTGTAGAAGAGCGCTATCAAGATGCTGGTAATTATTTAATTTCTTTTTTTTTCTTTAATTTATTTGTTGAGTTTTTGGTTTTGGAACCTTTTTTTTTCATTATATTGTGCATGATGTGTGACCAAAGTTCTTTGGATGTCATGTATATGATACCTGAATCATTAATGACTTTGACCCTAGTCTAGGGGACTAGTTTGATATTGTCACCTGTTGGAATATTCAAGTATGATGAGTCCCACAATCTCCCCCCCAAGTGTGACACCCACAATTGGTATGCTCCCCCTCAACCGAGTACTTAGGCCCAAAGTACTCAACTCGCTCCCTAGCCAAACACGAGGCTAGCCCGAGTCAAACAAATATTCAAGTATGATGAGTCCCACAATCTCCCCCTCAAGTGTGACACCCACAATTGGTATGCTCCCCCCTCAACCGAGTTCCTAGGCCCAAAGTACTCAACTCGCTCCCTAGCCAAACAATAGGCTAGCCCGAGTCAAACCCGCTTCCTAGCCAAACACCACACAACCTGGCTCTGACACCCACAAGTATGATGAATCCCACAATCTCCCACTCAAGTGTGGCACCCACAATTGGTATGCTTCCCCTCAATCGAGTACTTAGGCCTAAAGTACTCAACAAGCTTCCTAGCCAAACATCAGGCTAGCCCAAGTCAAATCTGGTTCTGATACCATTGATAAGCGGGTCCGAGAGGAGCCCATGGCGGGAGACCACCACCAATAGGCTAAGGCTACACCAACCATAGCAAATGGGTCCGACACCATGTCTCAATCCAAAACCTTAAGGCATTGGGTTCATGGGTTCATCCACTTATATCCACTTCACTTAGCCCATTACCAACCAATGTGAGACTCATCATACTTGAATATCCCAACATCACCCTTACTAATTGTAGCAGTCAGCTTGTAATTTTTTCACTTCGATCACCTTTATAAAATTTACCTGGTGTCATCACTTGAAATCAAAATGAATTGGCAGTTTAATATGCATATACCCTAACATTAATAGGGGTATAAAACTAGCAATACATAAGGTCACTAAAATTATTATAGCCAGTCATCAGCAGATGTTGCTGCTAGGTGTTTATGGGCTTCATTTTTATTATTTTCCTATCTTTTTGTAGCTTAACATGTTCAGGGAATCCAGTTCATTTATGTAGTAAAGTGATTTTTCTACTGGTACATGCATTGAATTGGGATGTGGGTTTTGCATGATTACATTTCTTGTCTGCAGTATATTTTCTACTTCCTCTGATGTTACTACTTTTACATCTCATTTTTCTGATGCAACTTCAGCTTTATGGAGGGATAAACTTAATCAACTTAGGGCTGGAAAAAACGTGAATAACAGGTATAAAAGCTTATTTCATATGACCAATTGACAATGTCTGATGCTGTATCATAACTAATCTCTAGCTGGAGTCATTTTACTCCAACTGGGAACCTTCTTCCGGTCTCTTTTCTCTTCTTTTGAAAGCTTTATATGAAGTTGACAACTTTTGTTCTGTTGCAGATCCTGGACACTATAAATTGTATATAGCAATCCAACATTAGAATGTCAATGGGAATTGGTAGAGCCGATACCTGTCTTGTCTTTTCCCTTCTTCCGCTTATGTATACGCTTAATACGTTTGTGAATATTTGTATATATATCTAAACATTAATGCTAATGCATCATCAGAACTTTATCATGCTTTTCCGCTATTTGATTCAATCCTCTATGAGCTGTTAATTTGTAGTGTTGGTTTCATTGGACTCGGCATGCTGCTAATGGTTGTGTTGTGTTTCAGGGTTTGGACAAATATATGGGATGGTTGAATAAAACAAATATATTATTCAGTTTCCTGATCTTTTTACGTCCGCCTCTTTTTTTTTTGCACGGAGATTTACATTTAGTGAATTTCTCGAACTTCTTCAACGCATAACTCAATGAGTGACCGAAGAACTTTTTTGAGGGATTATTTGGTCCTTAATTATAAAATTAGGGTTTTATAAAAGTGATCTCCCAGAAAGAGTGAGTTTGTTATGTTATAGAAATTTATTTTTCATGCCTCAATTTTTTTTTTTTTTGGTTTCAAAAAATATGGGCCTTATAAAATGTTGTATTTGTAGGAAATTGTTCTTTTTACCTGTTGAAGGATCAATGCGAAAATATTTTTTATAATCTAGGATTATCTAATAATTTGGTGTTCCATCTCGAAATATCAATTTTTTCTTTCTTTTTTAATCTTTGTTATTGTTTCTTTTTTTTAATTTTTTTTTTTCATCTACACCAAGGGACTATTAAAAAATGGTGATCAATGCAAACCCTTTATAATTAAGAGCTGTCCCATCATGCTTGCTGCATATGCTAACAACTAGAGATTATTCGCATATTTATTATACAATTCAAAATCATTTTGTTTGTTTGTTGTAAGGTCAACCCACCTGTGATCGGAGGAGAAGGCATCTCTATTGGAGTAGAGGAAGTAATGGGAGATAGGGAATTAAAAATTGTAATGGAGAATATTTGTGAAGATTAATTCATGCTATTCTTCTTGCATGTTTCCGACTGTTATGGACTGAGCATTATGTTTAATCCTTGACTATAAACCCGATTTCGGCAAAAGGACCTGTTTCTAGTTTTTTGGGTGAGATTCAGTAATATTGATTCAAATTGGGTTTCAATGTTTTTTTTGTTTTTTTTATCATTTTTAGTCTTTCAGTATGATACTGAAATTATAAAACGATATGGTTAAGCCCTCCAAATTCGTAACGTTTCTGGCGCCTGAAATTTTTATCTTAATTTGCTTATCACTAGGCTAAACCCTGAGTAAACAAATAATTTCAATCAATATTGCAACATTAAATAAATAAATAAATAACTAAGTTTAACTGACTACCAATATTACAAATAATGTAATAATTTGCTTATTACATTCATGTTTTACAGTCTCTTTGCATATTGACAGTTATTGTATAGTTTTAAACTAAATTTAACTGATTATCAAAAAAATAATAATAATAACTAATGTTATTGCAGATTCTTAAAGCAAGGAAGTTTTATACTGAGAAAGCAAAGCACGTGTCCAACATGATCCAATGGCACAGATTCAATTGTAGAGACGAGTCATCTGATTCAATAATATACCCAGCAGCCTTTTATTTGGTTTCCTTCCTCAATAAATCATGTTTAATTTGATAATCTGAAAATTAAAATTTTTCAAATTTGGCGTTCGTAAAAATACTCTGGTTTCCACTAGGATTTTGAATTCTAGTTGTATGAAGTCCTTCGGTACTATCCACATGATTATCATGGTGACGATACGAAAGGGAGATCTGTTTAGATTAAGGCTTGGCAAAGTTGATCCCAATAAGCTTATGCAAGTGACTACCGTGCAAAGTTTTTTTTTTTTACACAACCGTGAAAAGTTATTTGAAGTACCATGTTCAGGGTTTTGAGAAAACATTTGCTGTTAAGTTTCCAGCTTGCCTTATAGCAGCCAAGAGGCACATAGATTCAAGTACAACCATTTTGGTTGTTCAACTAAATGGTCACTGAAAGTTTCCCAGTCACCATTTCAACTAAGTTATTTAAGACTATAGTTTATATGACCATGCTGCCTTTCGCTTGCACAGGCAGCCTTCATCTTACAGACCAAACCGAAGAATAAAGAGATCATTATTCACCGGACGCTACAAATTTTCAGATTGTCTCATTTAGCAAATGCAATTTTCTTTTCAGAAAGCAAAAACCCGAAGTATTGACAACATAGTGGATTCATATGAAATCACATTATATATATATATATATATATAGGATTTAACATTTCTGCAGCAGCCGTAAATAGTGTTATCTATACACAGAAAAGTGGGCCCCACGGCTTTTTAAAAAAAAAAAAAAACTCAGGATCCGTTGCCGTATCCTAAGATTCGGACGTGTATCCTTGCTTGCTGTAGGTACAGCAGTTGCAGAAATTATTTTGCCATATATATATAGAGAGAGAGAATCATTTGACACCGGTGTCAAACAAAAAGTATGACACCTTATCTAAGAGTCATTAATCTTGCTTTAATTTAACGACTGCAATTTGTAAGCATGTGACACCGTTGATCTACCTTGATCAAACAACTCTCAGATGAGGTGTCAAATGATCCTACCCCATATATATATATATATATATATATATATATATATATATATAATCTATCATAGAACATGTTATCCAAATGATGTTAAAATCATTGAGAGGAGATAATCTGTGTTAGAGAAATCACTTTGACAATATTCACAATTCCATAAAATACACACCAGAAATTGAAACATGCAATAAAACAAAGTTAAAACATACCGTACAAAAATATATGAATGCGACAAGGGAAAATCCGAGCTCAATGTTAGATACTGTGTTCTTAAGACAATTTTGCCCTCTTTATGTTGCCTAAGATTTGTGGACAATTGTCTTTCAGGATAGAACAAATTATTTCTATTCTTGTGGCGGTACTTCCACATTGAATAGCTCCATCGAACTCAACCAATCGGACTAGAGTAGAAGAATACAAATACAAAGAATGTACAAAACCAACAGGGAAAAACTTCACACTTTAAAATTCCGATTTCTATTTTATAAAAACCGTAAGGTCACAATTTAAATGACAACTATTCGACGACGAAATAACACATCCGTTCAACGACGAAAAGACACACCTTTTCCATATCAAACTTCTTATTCATAAAGATAATTAATTCAAAATTAATTCTAGCAGAACATACATATAATTTTTGCTCGAGAGAAAGATTAACAATGGTACAAATGGCACACCGATTAGACTGTGTTACAACATAATGGAACAATAACTATGAGGAATAGCATCTTTTTTCATCCTTTATCTTTTTCTATCTCTACTCAAGTTCTGCTTATTTTCTGAATTTTCTAACCTTGTTGATTCAGCAATGTCACCCTGATTTTGGCCCGGTTGAGGACAATGGAAGTAATTCCTTTACTAGTTGTTATTAATTTCATCACCTTTTGTCTGCACCATGAACAGAGCAGTTTTAACGACGGCAGAGCTTTCTTTGATACAAAAGCGTGTCAGATAGGTTAGCACTTCCCAACCAAAAGAAGAGAAATTCAATACCAAAATAAACAAACTGCAAATAGTAGTGCAGCATGTCAGTGTTGTGACTTGTGAGGATAGGATCACTTTAGAAGAAGTAAATCATAATATTTCTCACATAACAAAAGAGTGCTATCATGTGGAAGGAGTGTACGAATCCATAATATGTAACATTAGACATGATTTGGGAATCTATAATTGCAATGCCAAATCAAGCACCAGCCGAAACAAGAATCAAGATTTGCTACTATAAATTATTTTCTATCAGACCTCATCTATTCCTCATGTGTATATAGGCACCCTGTTTACCATGTTCCACCGTAGAAGTTTGGCCGAAAGTAAATGGAGTGGCAGTGCTAGAAGGCAACTAGACATCTAGTAATAAAAGCAAATCAGATGACTTAATGTCCAATATCTATGCCCTCCCAAGTGAACAAAATGCAGAAACTAAACATTCATAAAAATAAGACTCAAAAATACCTATGCTCCATATTACACAATTATGCAGCTTAACCTAGATTCTTGTTCAGTAAACAAATTTTCAAGAGTTGACAAATAGCAACTTGAAGAGAAGAAATTACAGCCTGTACATATGATAATCAGATCGATGCTGTATGCACCCAACGCTACTCAGTACTCACCACAAAGTTTACCAAAATGCATACCATTTACTCAACCAAAAACAAAATGCATACATTTAAGAGAGTGAGTTGACGTGGGTGAGGTACTCAACATCAAGCCAACTCATACTGAAACACGTCAACTCATACTGAAAACAAGTATGCTAAAACAATCAATGAGCTCTAGCATTCTCCTTAATCAATCAATATCAAGAAACAATTTCTGATATCAACACGGTTTGCAGTACTGACAGCTGTATTTTGAATATTGCTTCACTTCAAGTGAGAAACAGATGGCTCTATACATAATTTATGATATACTGATATTCCATAGAGGCCTGCTCTACAAAGTTATTTGTAAAGAAAGAAAATGAAGGCTTGAAATAAAAAAATCATTCTGGTCAAAAGAGGCTTTGAGATTCTCAGATCATCAGAACAGCTTTGATTAGAATGTGCCAGCAGACTGGTGAAAGCATGACCCACTTCCAGAAATCCAACCTTGATATGTCCCTTTTGTACTATTTGAACTTAAGATAATAAAATCCTAGTGTGTGCCTCCAAGAAAGAGAGAGAAAGGAAGAACCTCGTAACAGCTCATGAATTCATCGTATGGTACACACAAATCATCAGTCAAGCCACGGCCAAACTAGGCTGACGAAAAACCAGATTTGAGCTGAAGTCACGGTCTAAAATAGGCTTTGCTTTGTCAGGTCCTCAGTACAATTTACTGCATTACAGTGGAAAGTTAGCAGATAAGTATGACCATGAAGTTTGCAAAGCTAAAATTCTGATTATTATTGTCATTTAATTTAGTTGAATTGATTCATAGTAGGGAACTGGTATCATTAGTAATGCTGTTTCCTTTTCTAAATATGAAATTTGAACAGAATTTAAAAACACGAAAATTATTTTAATATATAAAAGCACTTAAAATCTGCAAGTTTACTGTTTGTATATATTGTTCTCAGAAATTAATTGGCAAATCTAAAAGTTCTAATAGAACAAAACAAAACAAAAAATTAAGAAAGACTTGTTTTCTACTCATACTGGCAATGCCAAATTACTTAAAAACTAAAGCTTACAAATATCAAGAAACTGTTTTCCATTCACCATACACCTTACCTAAACGCGACTTTTTTCATAAGTGAGAGGTCGCAAAAAACTTCCATATACACTGCCTTAGAGAATTTAAGGATCAAATGAAGCATTACAAAGAACTACATATTTTATTAATATTAAAATATGAAATGTAATGTACAATTTGCTTGCCAAATTCAACTTGATCCTGAACAGAGATTGAACAATCAAACCATGAAGCTAATTATCTGGCACATGAAGGCTATGTGATTGACAATTAACATGTCCTTGTTGAAAGAAAAAAAATGTTAAACTAAGTTTCCAAAATCTGAGGATAGTGTTGGAAAGTATCTCTTATTTAGGGAAATACTCTCAAACAGCTAGGATGCCGTTATGCATTTCTAATAATTGCATCAAGATAACTCTGATTAAACATCACCTCATGCACATTAGTTCCACCCTATCATTTAGAGCCTAATCAAGAATACAGGTTAAATTGTTCACAAATTAAATCTTACAACAAAGAATCAACAACCATTGATTCAAGTGGTAAAGAGTTTGTTCCCTTTAACCAGAGGTCTCGAATTCGAGCCTTAGGAGTGGAAAAAATGATTTTTGGAGAACCACCCATAAATAGGTCCGACCATGCTCAAACTGGATTTAGTTTGGTAATCAACGAAAAGCTGGAGAAATCCAAAAATTTTATAACGAAGACGCCATCTTATTGGCCATGGTATCTCTAAAGTGATGAAGTTGGAAACCAAGCATAAGTTTAGTTACGACTGACACGTGTTTCATTCAGTCATTAAACTGTCTTAAGTATTCATCTTTATACATCAAACAGAAATCAAATTTCAGTTTTATCAATAAATGTACCATATGAGCTGGGCATGGACAGCATTATAGTAGTCTTATCACTTTCACCTATAGCTGAAATTTTATTTCTTTTTGGGGCATCACCTCGTATTTCTTATTGTTATGTACAGATCAAAACAGCTATGATCTAAATGGACCAAAACTTCAACCTGTAACATGGCCATCAGAATCCAAGCATGGGCAGATGCATTTAAAAATTTGTTGTTATCATCTAGTACCAGCATATGTGTGTGTGTGTGTGTGTGAAATTTAGAAATAATGATCGAGTGAGGTTTTATAGTAAGATATAACATACAAAAGCTTCCACAAACTAAAGCAACATACAGAACACCATCAGATGTTTCAGGAGGTAAAAGTAGAAGGAATAGAAAGACAATAAAGACACAAATAATTACATAGAAAAGGGGAATTTGACAACTCCATCAAAAAGAACATTGAAAGTAGAATCACAGGGCAGGGGTTAAATAAAGCATACAAGTTTCCAACTTAAGACTTACATAGAAGAACATTTTGAGGTAATGAAGAGTATTGATCAAATTACTAATGCTTACCAATTCAATATTCCACAAATGTCATCTACAACAGGTGTCTATTAACTTTCGATATGCAGATTAAGATGCTTGCAAGTTTGCGACTTTATTTCTTCCTTGATTCATTTTGATCATTTCTCTGTAGCAGCTCACTATCTTCTTATCCAATTCATAATATTCTTCCATTTTACTCAAATGCTTCAAATCCAGGTCAATAAAATACACCTAATACAGATCAAATTGCAATTAAACTAAGATAATCAATGTAACAAGCATTACCACTGCCATTGTTTTATAAATAAAGAGAATATAATCATTAATAACGGCAATAACATTAGTGGCTAAAGGTGGCAATAATTTAGACTTGTTTCATATAATATGATATCCGTGAAGAGAATTTTTGCATGTTATTGTTTTATTTTCTTTAAAATAAGAACTATAATTGCAATGGCTATAAGATATTAAAAAATCTTTTCTCAAGTAATGCAATTGAGATAAAGGACTAAAAAATAGGAATGGAATCATGAGTTATGAAAAACTTGTTCATGGGTTGAAACACCTGAAAGGAAAGGGGATGGGCGTTTCTGTGCATACATTAAAGCCCCAATTGGGAATGCTGTGGCTTTTGGATTTATTGCTTCTTGAAAGCAGAAGTCACAAATTTGTGTTCAATAAAAAAAAATTTAGGATGCTTCTTCTAGTGCTTTTGAGAAGCACCCTAGGGGATTCTCCCAAATTCTACCTTTATCCTTTCCCACTTTAAACTGGTGTCTATAAATTTTTATGATGTTTTATTTTTAATTTATTTTTTGTAATTTTAGATGTTTTTTGCGATAAATTTTACCAAACACATTTTTTTTTTAATTGGAGTGCAATTCACAGAATATTTATATCATTTTCATCAAACAAAAGTCTAAATGACCTTTCACAGTAGCTTTTTAAGAGCGCCTACACAATAGCAACTTTTTAAAATCAACATCATTCTCAAATGGGTCCTAAAATAATAAATGTAACAGCACTGTCTACCTTTGCAAAAAATACTTAACCACGTAATAATAAATGTAAAGGGCTGCCTACCTTGTAATCGAAGGTTTGCTCAGTGGACTCAAGATATACATTATTGCATACGGATCCAGAATCTCCCTCTTTCCTTGGTCTAAAACATATAATCAAACTACAGTCTTTTGCAGTTGCTGCTATCAGGTAGTCCTTTACAATTCTCAGGCTTTCATCAAATGAAGCAGAATGCAAAGAGGTATATCTTTTCACTTCTTCTTCACTCAATTCTCTACATACCATGCATTGTTGACAAGTAATGTCATAATATGCATGTATTACTCCTTCTATGTCATCATTATCAAGCTTCTGAACATCAAGGAGCCGATCAAGGACTCCTGATTTTTGCAAAGCCTCAGCAACAAGAGTGAGCAAGTTCTCTGTACATAGACCATCATCAGCTTGAATAACAGACTTAAGTTCATCTTCAAATGCTTTCGCAATACAAAAATTTGTATCTTCTGCACCACCTCCCAGTCCGCCAAATATGAGAGAGCCATTCATAAATACACGAAAATTGTTTTGAGGGGTAGTAAAGAGATCCTTGATAGCTTTATGAATTCTTTCCTTGGATCCAGAGAACAGATCAAGTGGATTGTATTCACTTAGCAGTGATATCTGCAAACATATTGGAATAAATTATATCTCAAATATGAAGTTTAAAAAGGATAGTGTATATTGACGTAAAATTTTAATAACGTCCATCAACAGAACAAAGGATTAAATTCTGACAGTAAAAGATATGACAACAAGGAAGAAGTATGTATTATGCAGCAACTGGACCACCATCAAAAGTCAAATTTTGTGGATGGGGTACCTCTCCTTGATGCAATTTCAGGGCTTGGTGCATTTCAAATCGAGTTATCCTCCTTTTGATAGCAGTTTCTTTGGATATGAATCTTGAAAGGGGAAGAAATCCGCATTTGGGCTACTTGTTCAAAACAATATTTAGAATGTTACAACCAAGCAAAAGAGAGAATAAGGGGAAGCAAGCTTGATAATCAATTTTAAATTTTAAATTAAGGTATTGTCTAATGGGAGGAAAAAAAACACATTCTACCAAAGAATAGTAATGTATGACATTATGCAGAGCTTACCTTTATCTCAACAGATATGCAGGGGCTTGATCCAAGATTACCTGAAATGAAAAAGAAAGCTTGTAACAAAACTTTCAAATGTTTTGTAGATGTTTTATGGAGTTAGAAAGCTTACATCACGAGTTTACTAGATTAATATTACAAGGGATAACATACAAAATGAAAGGCTGAAGGGGTGTATAAATTAGGGTTTTCATGTTGGAGTCAGATTAAGCAGCTTAATGGCATACTTGCATGATTAATAGCATGTTAGGTTCCACCCCAAAGTAATTTTGCCTCCCTACATTACTTTTCTGCCGCTAAAAGTTTGCATATCTAGCGCCTAGGTATGGTGCATGTTTGGAGTCCAACCCAAGGGAGGTAAGATAAACCAATCATGCAGTGTAGCCTGTAGGCAAGATTAAATATTAACTTCTGCCACTTCTACAAATGGATGATTTCTCAGCAAGGTACTAGAAACTGTTAGCTGGAAGAAACATAAGGACCATAGCAACTGCATATTCCACAAGTTTACATGCAGGGGACGGGCGGACAAATATCTTTTGAGATGAAGAAACCTTTTAATGCCAAATATGTAAGGGTTTAGTTGCTCATGTAATGAATGAGTAATGATCAGATACCAGTATTTAAAGCCCTACGTTGGGTGAAAATTAAAACCTGGATCTCAACCGGATTAGAACATACCAATACTCAGATACTTCATTTAGATGTTAAAGACTTTAAAAAGGGTAACCAGTAGAAGCATTACCATGAGTGAAGAGTGAATGATCAGACATGAGAAGCACAGAATCACAATGTGTGTCGACCTGGGCAGTATCAACTCTCCAAGGAGGACGTTGACAAATGACATCCTTCTGAACAGATTCAAGAAATTCCCTCGACACCAAGACAAGCATCTAACAAAGTAGCGAAGGATAGGTGAGAGTCAGAGATCAATATCACTAACTTTCTCAACCATATCGTAAAATGTTGTGCATGGATAATTCGTTAATTCATGAACTACTAAATTCCGCTAAATACATATTTATCAATAACAAAATCAGCTAAAATAGAGACATTAACCATTTTATTGACTTGTCCATAAGGCCTAAATCTACAGCATTCAACTTAAACCAAAAATAACACCCCACTGAACCCCCCGACTTGTGAGAGTAGCGGTGAGGAAATCCTTGCATTCCATTTATGCAAAGAAACGGTTTTTTTGAATTTGAACCAGTGACCTTTTCGAGGCTTGGCCTCATATTCAACTTAAACCAAAATGCAAAAAAAAAAAAAAAAAAAAAAATGTAAATAAATAAATAAATATTCTAGACTGATCATTTACTACAATCTGGTTTTAAGTCCTGAAAAAAGCATACATTAACATCATGGTAGAGATAACCACTCCGAGATAAGGGGTTTCCAACAACACATACATACCCCAGGATCAACATATTTGGAACCAAGCAATGGCTTCATAACGTGGCAGACAAAAAGTTGGCCTGCAATTTCATGGTCTGAAGATGATACGAGTTCATCTACATCTTTCCAGAGAAGACGTTCGTGCGCTGTCAAAGCAGAGGGGCTCCTCACACTCACAGCGTCATTCGTTGGAGCCTTACGGATGCGCATCACTTTCCCAATCTGCACGAACAAATCACATTAAGCTTTGTAAAACAATTCGGTCAAAAAAGAGAATTCGCGAAGAACATACAAATGCAGGAGATGATCCAGTATATGCCAGAACAAGATTAGCAGCTCCTTCTCCTCTGTAAACCCACTCTGCAGCGTTCTTCTCCCTTAGTATCACCTCCATCCAACAACTTTTACCTAAAAGAAAAGAATGATGATCGGTGAAGCATTTCTTCAAACACTACGAAGGCACGCGAAATCAATCAAAGAAAAAGTTAAAATACCTAAGAACTAAAACAGAGAGTCAAAGAAACCCTGGCGACTATTCCATTCTACTGTATCCAGTTCCGGTAATTTATGCTGGTGGCTAACTGACTGCGGCTGAGATCGTTTATCAAAATTTTAATTTATTAAAAATTATTTCGGCTAAATATTTCTATTATCTTAATTATAATCCTTATTAAAATATTAATTACATTAAATTAAAAGAAACATCAATCTATGTAATTTTTCTTTTCTTGAAGAAAATGGCAAAGAATAAGACACTTGCTTAACTTATCGTGATATTTAGTTTAAATTTTATCCACAGTCGAGGCCTTATTTTTATTTTTTTTTGGTTTGTCGAGGCCTTATTTTAATTCACAAAGATATTAAATATATAGATAAAGTGTCTCGTACATAAAAAAAAAAAAAAAAAAAAAAAAAGTGAATAAGATCCATTTATTTGATTAGGTTCCATCCATTTAAGTGGATTATATCTATTTTTTTATGTGTTGTATTAGACAACATATCTCACACAACATAAAAAAAATAATCCTTAAATATATGCGTCTTTCTATTTATAACAGGGTCACTTATTTATTTTCTCTTTAGCATTTTCTCAACAAGCTTATTTCCTTGCCCAATAATAAAAAAATATGGAACAATACTGAAAATAAATATAAAGTCAAAAGTTGTATAAAAATAGGGAAAATATGTGTCATTTTAAATGATACACCTTATCTCCTTCCACTTTCACAAAAATGTGAGACCCACACCTTTAAAACTTTTTTCACTCATTCTCTTTCTTATTATTTATCTTTTTCTCTCACTTAAAATGACATAATTTTATATCCTTCAAAATGATAAACACTTTTTTCGTAAAAATATTACTTTTTTACTACCTAGTAGTGTGTGCTAGGGGTGTTCGCGGTCTGGATTGGATCGGTTTTGGGAACAAAAATCATCCGATCCAATCCCTTCGGTTTGATCATGTAATCATCCATTCGGTTTGGATTTTTTTTCAAATCCGATCCGATCCAATCCAATTTCTTTCGGTTTGGATTGGATCGGTTTTCGGTTTTTTGAAATTCCTAAATTTGTTTCATAATTATTGTGCAAATAACATTTTTTGTATATATTGGCTTTGTAAATTTTTTTCTTTTGAAATACAAAAGCATTAGTAAACAAAAATATATATATAATTTTTTCGGCAATGAGATATGAAGCTCTACACAGATAAAACTTTGTTGATAAAATGTGACTAGATTTTTTCTTGGATTTAGTTGATGGGTTAATGGGTCTTGAGTTTAAAAATTTGTGGGATATGATTGGGGAAAGACCCAAGTAGGTAGAGGAGAATTAATATATTGGATCGGTTTGGATTGGATCAGTTTTCATCACTTAATCCGAAAACCGATCCAATTCAATTAAAATTTACGGTTTTTTTTTTCGGTTTTCGATTTTTCGATTTTCGAATTATTCGGTTATCGGTTTTTCGATTCGATTATTGCGGTTTGAATCGGTTTGGTTCGGTTGGTGAACACCCCTAGTATGTGCTCCTACATCACCCGAAAATATTTTCGCTCCCGACGTGGAACTGCTTACAAGACTCATGAGACCAGGTACATTCCTACGAGCGTGAACTCCTCCAAAAGCATTTTTATAACCAAAGGGGACCTCGTGCATGCTGAAATTACAGAACCAAGCAAATTTCGTGCTCAATGACGTCCTTGAAACCAAATTTCTTAAGGAGGATGTTGACGAGGGGCAATTGAGCTTAGAAAATTTTAAATTTTAAATTAATGTTAATTTTTTAATAATAATTTTGATCAATAAAAAAAAGCACAGATTATGTGGGAAAAACTTCAAAAAAGAAGGAAAAAAAAATGACTTAAATTCGATTATCTCTATTCAATAGGGAGACAAATTCATTGTAATGAGTCAAACCCAATTTAAAGTACAAGAATATAATATTTCTGCCCTTAATGTATGAATTCACTAAAACCATGACTTAAATCTAGATTCAGCATTCCAATTTATCTAAGGCAGTGTTTGGTGTCACATATAACACTTGGGGCATGTTTGATACATAGTATAGGATAAAGTCTGAAAGTATAAGACCTGATATTGTAAGATATGATTGTATAAGACCTGATTAATTTTTGATACTATCCAGCGTTTGACATGATATTATATAAGATAAAATCATTCAATATTTGATAATACACTGTATAATACTAGATAGATTAAAAATAAATATTTTTGTCAAAAATATCTTTTAATAATGAATTTACATAATTCTTCCAAATATATCAGATGATATTATTTTTTATAAAAATATGTTGATCAGTGTGTCCAAAAAATATATTCATTTTTATAAAAATAAAAATCTCCAATGTTTTAAGAAATTATATATTGAAAAATTATTTTTAATTTTAATATACTAATATTAAAATAATATATTAATTCTTGATAATTGCATTGGTTAATACATCAACCCCTTATCAGGCCTAATCCTACCCTCATAGGCCTGATTAAGTTATACATCATTTTAATGTATAAAGAGATCCTGCTGTATAAGCTAATACTATACGATAGTCACATCAAATAACTAAAAAAGTTGTAACGTATAGTATAAGCTTATACTATCAGGCCTTATACATCACACCAAACAGGCCCTTAATAGTATAAGTTTATATTATATGTTATGATATTTTTAGTTGTTTGATATGACCATCGTATACTATATAAGCATATACAGCAGAGTCTCTAAATACATCAAAATGATGTATAACTTAATCAGGCCTAAGGGGTGGAATTAGGCCTGATAAGGGCCTAATGCATTAACATCGCTGACCAATATAATTATAAAGAATTAATATATTATTTTAATATTAATATATTAAAAAATTAAATTATTTTTTAGCATATTAATTTTTGAAATATTGGATACTTTTATTTTTATAAAAAATAATAACTTTTTGGACACGCTAATCAATAGATCTTTACAAAAATTAATATCATATAACATATTTGGAAGAATTATATAAATTATTTATCAAAGAATATTTTTATCAAAAATATTTATTATCCTATCTAGTATTAAACAGTGCATTACCAAACATTGGATGATATTATCTTATACAATATCATGCCAAATGCTCGATAATATTAAAATTTAATCAGTTCTTATACAATCAGGCATTACATCATCGGGTCTTATATATCAAGTTTTATTCTATACAGTACACCAAACATACCCTAAGTAAATTACTTGTAATTGTATGTCAAACCCTGACAATTGCAAAAGTACAGACCTCAATTAGCACTAGATAATTGTTCCCATATTACCTACTTTGACAATAACTAAAACAAAAATAAAAAATTACAAAAAAACAATTTAAGAGTAACTTACATGCTTCTAATCAATAAGCAAATAGGTAAAATTCAAACATAAGAGAAGGACTCAATGCATCTATTAACGCATTGTTCGCAAAATTATTTTGAATGCGCTTTAGTAAGAAATACTTATAATACGTGTAATGCACTTTTTCCCTTCAATGCTGATACCGAAAAAAGACTCATAATATGATTTTTATATTTTTTTTTTCTCAAAATCAAATATTAGAAAAAATCTATAAATTTTTATACTAAATCTAGATTATCATTATTTTAAAGAAAACTTTCAAAAAAAAAAATTAAAAATAGGATCAAAATTTTCAAATTAATTTTTCAAAAGTTTACTTTCCAAAATTAAATAAAATAGAATCAAATTTTCAAAAAGAAATTTCAAATTTAAAACTAAATCTTAAAAGTCTATAGATTAAAGAGTATAGGGAGCAGCACATCAGTTGCGGTAAAAGATGTTTATAACTGGTTGATTAATGATGGGGAATTAGTTGTGGGAGATAGTTCTTTGTGGCATCTGTTATGGAACTGGTCTGGTCCTCAAAAAGCAAAAGTTCTGATGTGAAAAATCTTGCATCGTAGGTTACTTACTATGGATAAAATTGTTAGTTGGGGTGGAGGATAAGATTTGTGTCCAATTTGCAAAACTGATAGTGAAACAATCCGTCATGCATTAAGGGATTGTTTTGAGGTGAAAAATCTTTGGGGCAAGTTGATTACCAACTATTTTAGATCTAATTTTTTTGAAGCTGATTTGGAGCATTGGCTAGAGTTTAATATAAAAGGTATCGTGGGGTTAAACTTACCTGGTAATTGGTTGTCAATTTTTTCCTATCAGTGTGGAAGATTTGGAGCTGGCGCAATGAGGTTCGGCATGGGACTACTATATTGGATCTATCTATAAGGGAACGCATTATTAGTAATCTAGTGAGGAAGGTAGATCAAGCTTTTAATTCATCTAATAGTCATCAATTGGGTAGAAGGACTGTGGTTGTTAACATTGCGTGGCAGTTTTCGGAAGCTGGTTGTGTTAAGATTAATACTGATGGTGCTGCTAGAGGGAATCTGGGTCTTGCTGCTTGTGGGGGCATTATTTGAGATTCTACTGGTAAATGGATAAAAGGTTTTGCGTTTAAACTTGGTTCTTGTTCAGCCTTCAAAGCTGAATTGTGGGGAATCCTTTGTGGTTTGGAGCTTGCGTGGAGTGAAGGTTTCTGTTATATTGAGATTGAAAGTGATTCAAAGAGTGCTATATATGTGCTCACCAAGGATGGTATAGCAGTCCGTGAGGGTCATCTGATCACTTGGATACAGACATGGTTATAAAAAGATTGGATAATTAAGTTCAACCATACTTATAAAGAGGGTAACACATGCGCAGATTGGATGGCTAATTATATTCTGGATGCTGAAGAGGGAGTCAATAAAGTTTTATATGGGAATCCTCCTACTGGTATTTATTTGTTGTATTTAGCTGATCTCTCTTCTGTGGAAGGAGTGTTAACGGGCCGAGCCGAGCCGAGCTTTGGTCTTAAAAGGCTAAGCCTGCGTTTAAACGTGTCAGCCTGTTACCTATTACGAATATAATTATCGGCATGTGGCCTGTCTTATTTACAAAAAATAAAAGCCTGATTTGACCTGTTAGCCTGTTTAAAAAAAAATAAAACAACAAAAATTTATCCAAACAAAATATACAATCAACAACACTAGTAATTTCATAAATATTCATAAATTCAATGTATATCCAAACAACATAATATAGAATAAAATTATTCAAAAAATCTATTTAAGCAAAAAAATGGGGTGAAATGGATTGAGGAGAGAGAGGGGGCTATTATAAGTAGTATAAAAATTATAAAATAAAAATAAAAATTAATATACTAGGTTGGTCTGAGAGGCTCCAAGACCGAGCTTTTGAATTGGAGCTTCAGGCCTTTTTATTAAACGAACTTTTATATAAGTCCAAGTCTGGTTCCAATAACCAATTTCAGACATGTAGGTTCTGGCCTTCACGAACCGAGCCAAAAGCCCCTGATTTGTTTACCACCCCTAGTGGAGAGAGATCGTGCTTTAGTTTTCTGCTTGTTTTGTTTTGGGCTTTAGCCCTTTTAATTACCCAAAAAAAAATATAAAAAAAATAAAATAAAGATTTTCTATTTTCCTTTTTAATTTTTCAAAACTTTAAGATAATGTAACCCAAGGCATAATTATGATTTACCTCATTCAACAATTTCATGAAATCGAAGATTTTATCTTGTAATTTCGATCTTCACGATTTAATCTTGCAAATTTGATTTTAACGATTTTATCACAATTTTATTGCATCCACTTCTTGAGAATTCATCACACATTAAATTATGTAACAAATTTTCAAAAAAATAAAGATACCGTTAGATAATTTGGCTCACTCGTGATATCAAAACTATACAATATGTGCGACCCAAGAAAGGAGAATATGGAAGAGCTTTTTTTAAAGTGTTCATCATTGGTTTTTCATCTAAAATTGAGATTAGTAAATATTATTATTTTTAATCTTATTCATATTTTAGGATTATGTTCTAGGAATTGTATGATTTATAGAATCGATTTGTTTTAAATACTAAGATTTTTTTATTCCGACACATAAGATTAATTTGATTGAATTATCACAACTAATATTCTTATGTGTTTTTTTTTTAGATATTTCAATCGTTTCATTGCTTCGCAACTATTCCGATTTAGAGCGGGTCCTCGAATTAAGACTTTAAACCCCTCCCAAAGATGGTACTGCATAAGATCGAACACATGTTCCCCCCACACATGCTCAGTTCCTTGATGCCAACTGAGCTATTATCATTTGGTAGAACTAATATTCTTGTTGAAGAGGTAAAAGTGGACTCTTGCGACATACCCTACTATGTGCAGTTCAAAAAGGATTTGAAATGGAGGTTCAAAAGGAAGGCTCATTTGGTGGAAGGAAGTGTGGGGAAAGATTTCGGTTCGATCCTTATCAATATTATTTTGGAGAATATAAAACCTTATTCTTGACTCTCCATACACTTGGGATGAGTTTCATAGTCGATTTAAAAAGTCAAAATTTGCAAATATACCATAAGAGTCTTCTCACATCAAATAGATAATTAAGATTGATATTAAAAAATAAATAAAGGCTCATTCGTGATGGATGGTGAGGAAGCTTACTAAATCGATTGGGATCGTGAAGTGGACTTTGAGAATGACTCATTATTGGGCCGTGGTTGAGTCCATGCTGGAAACCCATTTCGGGAGTGACATAATGGATGAGCTATTTTCATAGGCAAGGTGGAAAATTTACGACCATGGACTTCGAGTGAATGATTTCCCTTGTCATGAGTAACCCTCCAATAAAACAGAGGGCAAAAAAAAAATGAAGCATAGCATAGCAAAACATGAACGACACTGCTAACTTAAATAGAAACAAAAAATTTGACGGTGTCAACCAAGTATAAAATAAAGTTGGTGATGGTTCTACACTTGTAGACAAGTTGTGTCAACAATAGCATCACGCATGATCATGACTTGTCGAAGTTAATTTGATCGTTAACAATGTATGACTAGCAGCGATTGGCGACGGGTTAGGTAGATAACCAAGCATGATTAGACATGTTATCAAATATCTCTCGGTAATCTCCATAACCAAGCATTGTCCCACCTTCAATTTCAAAGTGGAAGCCTCAAATGTTTCAAAATTCACTCTAGTGCCTGTCGGCCATATCATAACTTTCTAAACCAACCGTGCTCGTTACTGCCACGTGAATAGAGGTTGCCAATCTATTTTAGTATATATTTAGCACTAAGCAGTATTGTTTATTCACCAAGATATTCGCTCACCAAAGAAGGAGAGGAACCTAAATATGCTTTCCCAATTTGTAATGGAGCATCCTTACATTTGTTACTATATTTGTCTCTTGTTGGTGTTTTTATCATGTCAAAAAGCGTGGGCGCTTTGGTGGAAAAGTAACAAGTACTCCACTGTCGGCATTCCTCCAGGAAATCGAGGATTACCGTTTGTAGGAGAGACACTGCAGTTCATGGCTGCTATCAACAGCAGCAAAGGTGTCTATGAATTTGTCCGTGTTCGCCGTCTCCGGTAACAAATCCTATTCTCGGAAAAGGCTCTCTCTCTCTCTCTCTCTTTGTTCTTGACTCTGTCTTTTGTTGCTTTTGTCCTTAATTGACTCGTGTAGCTGATGTCATGGCTAGTAACAACAGCATCTTCAAAACACAAGGCACTGAAAGCATCTTTAAAAAAAAAAACATAATTAAGTGAAGAAAGTTGCAGTCAAATACAGTTACACTTGCGAAGTTGCAACTAGTTGTCTCCTTATATATTATGTGAGTATCGTCATATTGGTCTAAAAAGTAAAGTAAAAGACATTGATAACAAAAATAATTGGAGAACATGGAATAAGTTTATGAGATATATAAACTCATTAATGTAGCCTCACCCAACAGCTTAAGCTTTTGGGTTGAATTGGTTCTTTACATGGTATCATCAGAGCCTCAGTATACCGGGTTCGATCCTCACCTCACTCAACAGCTTAAGCTTTTGAGTTGAATTGGTTCTTTACATGGTATCATCAGAGCCTCGGTGTACCAGGTTCTTTTCTGAACTAGATGTGATCTTTTTACTGCGTTTGTGAAAACATACGCATGCTAGACCATGCAGACATGCACCGTTTTTTTTTTCTTCCGTAAATGGGTTGTTCAAGATTATTATTTATATTTTATTGGAGATTAAGTGTGAATGATAAAGTTTCACGTTTTTTTGTTAAGAATAGAATAAATGAATAGTGAAAAGACTCATTAACTTTTTTTTATAAAAAATTAGGTTGAGATGTGGGATATGATGTGTAGGCAGTATAGCTTAATCCATCGATGACAATTATTATTTATTTTGGGTTCCCGTATCACTTTACACTTTTTTAGATTTCTTCTTCTTCTATAAATCAAGTCAATAAACACTTATTTTAAAATTCGAATATAGATTTTAACATGGCTAGGTGAGAAAAAGTGAGAAAAGATGGACAAGTTAGCGCTTGATGAAAAATTATAGTTAGTTGCCAATTTTAACGGAGAGGACTTAGGTGTGTCAGATATGGAAATTGCTTCAAGACCAAGTTGTTTGGGGAAACGCACGTTTTTATTTCTAGTACGGAGTCGGCAAAAGCGGTTCTAAACAACGAGGGAGTGAAATTCTCAAAGAGGTACATAAAGTCAATCGCGGAGCTCGTGGGACCCGATAGTTTGCTGTGTGCTGCTGAGCAGCATCACAAACTCATTCGGGGGTGTCTCTTCAGTTTGTTCTCAAACGATTCTTTGTCCTCCTCCGTTAAACTGTTTGATGCACTCGTTCTTGAAGCTATGAGTAGCTGGACATGTGGATCCGTTGTGGTCATACAAGATGAAGCACTCAAGGTATGTACCAAGAATAATATAGAAGTGGAGAAATAAAATGAGGGTGCAATAATTATTATTAGGTTGGTTTCTCCTAAGGTTATTTTAAAAAAAATTGTTTACTATTTATCGAAACAACGTTATTTTTGGATGAAAATTAAGATGTGTTTGTAATTTTAATTTATTATTGGATTATAATAATCTTTATCATTCTAATTTTTTAATCTGTAAACCCAACGACGTTGTTTTGATGAATATTAGACAAAGTTTTCTAATCTAACATTAGATACTTTATTTTCTTGTTATTATTATTTTTTTTGAAAACGTGGGTTTTAAGTTGATTGAAACACGTACGGAAAATGTTTGTAATGCTTGCAGCTAGCTTGTAAGGCGATGTGCAAGATGCTAATAAACACTGAGAGTGGCAATGAGTTAGTTATTATGCAAAAGGAGGTTGCTCGTGTGTGTGAAGCAATGCTTGCATTCCCCCTGAGGTTACCTTGGACCAGATTCTACAAAGGCCTTGAGGTAAATATACAAAGGCGATTACTTAGGAGATAAATTCTTTCATGTTGAGAGACAAATAAAATGGGGAGTTTATCCCAAGGTTCTTTACATGGTATCAGAGTCTCGCCGCCCCCCACTTTCTCTTGTGGTGTTTCTTAGCATAGGTAGGCTGGGCCTGTTGTATTGTCCACTCTTCAAGCCCAATGAGCTCTCGTGTGAGGGGGCGTGTTAAAATATATAGTCCCACATTGGTTGTATGTGCAACTAATGTGGAGTTTATAAGGTCTTGGGCACTCCCGGGCTCTCGTGTGAGGGGACGTGTTGAGATATATAGTCTCACATTGGTTGTATGTGCAACTAATGTGGAGTTTATAAGGTCTTAGGCACTCCCACCCTTTGAGCTAGCTTTTAGGGTGGTGTATCCCAATATTCTTTACAATATCTGAGCAAAAACCATAATTTAGGAATAAACTTTCGTCCAAACCATAATTTAAAATTTTATTAAGGGAAAACAGAGTACTACCATCTCTTTCCTATTTTTCAAAATATATGTTGTGGTATGTAATATAATTTTTTTTATTTTAATAATGTCTTTAAAGTAGATTTAGGTGTCCAAAACGGGTATGACAGGTCATCAGGTCCATCATGCTCTACATGAAATTTCCAGAAAATACACAAAGCACTCATCACTAATTTACTTCTAATGACATTTATTTTGAACCCAAAATATAATTACTCAAGAGGAGGGGAAGGCTTATGGATGATCTAGGTATTGTGATAGAATTAATTATAAGCCTTTTCCTTATGGAATTTGAAGTTTTGATTTTATTTTATTTCCCAATAAGTAATCATAAATTATTCTATTTCACTCGGTGAAATGGTAATTTAAGCTTTCAAGTGATATTGCAGGCTCGAAAAAGAATTATGGATATATTGGATAAGGATATCAGTGCAAGACGAAGTGGAATTACAATTCGCCATGTAGATTTTCTTCAACAACTTTTAGCAGAACATGATAATAAATTAAACGAGGATGAAGTCACAAGGCTAACAGATAGAGAGATCAAAGATAATATCTTAACTATGATGATTGCAGGTAAGTGTATTAATACTATCGATGGAATCACCGAATATGATGTGGACGAGCTTTTGCTATATGAAGTTCGAAATTGCAGGACAGGACACAATAGCAAATGCAATGACATGGATGATCAAATTTGTGAATGAGAATCAGGAGGTTCTTAACATGCTTAAGGTCGGTGAATTTTTCATCTTGATTTTGTCTTTACCTTGTCCTTGGTATTTAAACTGATGGATATAAATTGTTGATTAAATAGAAGGAGCAACTTCGGGTCGAGAAAAAAGGAACAATAAGTGCGTATCTTACACTAGAAGCTCTTAATGAGATGCCATATGCTTCTAAGGTGTGTGTTATTATTATATATATGTTGTATTACAATGGCTTGCTGCTTCATCAAATTTACTAGTACTAAGGAACCAAGCTTTTGCATATTGAGGTGTTGTTCGTTTGTCTTAATTGGACGACTTGCTTCTCTTAAATTAATTGTGGGATCTGATAACATACTAATTGCTCGCAAGCAGGTCGTAAAAGAAGCGTTAAGAATGGCATCCGTAGTACAGTGGTTGCCAAGAGTAGCACTCGTAGACTGTGAGATTGAAGGTCCAAAATATATATATATATATATATTTTCCCTACGTATATTCGTATGTACTGTGTATAAATTGAAAGGAAAAACCCCATAACATAATAATTAATTAATGTTTACATACATAGGATTTAAAATCAAGAAAGGGTGGAACATTAATATCGATGCTAGATCGATACATCTTGATCCAACTGTGTACAATGATCCGGATGTGTTCAATCCTTCAAGATTTCCTGTAAGTCTACCCTAGCTGGTACCCTTTTATTTCTACCTTTTCATTTTGTTTTACACGAACACGATGCATCATGTAATTTATAATTGGAAAAAGAAAACAGAATAAACTGTTCCATTAAATTACAGGCAGAGTCAAAACCATACAGCTTCTTAGCTTTTGGGGTGGGAGGAAGGACGTGCCTTGGGAAGAACATGGCTAAAGCCATGATGCTGGTGTTTCTCCACCGTCTCATCACCAGATACAAGTGGGTGCTTTCTATCGTTGATCACATTAAATTAATTTTGGTCAAAATGCTGATTTTGTGTGTGATTATGCTAGAAGCTAAGAAGCCAGTTAATAACATACTAAACTAAAGTACTGAAATGGTTGTTATGCGCGTATTCAGGTGGGAGGTGATTGATTCAGACTCGAGTATTCAGAAATGGGCGCTTTTTACAAAACTTAAGAGTGGGTGTCCGGTACGTTTGATATCTATGAAGGAGGACACAAAGAAAACTATGTGATAGAATAACGATTTACAATTGGAAGCAATTCAAATGTAATAATGTTGCAATCTATTGTAAAAGATATTTCACTTGTATAAATGCATATTTCTATCTCCTCTTTTTGAAAGCAAATATATTTATGGAATTTGCATTTGTCATTTAACATCACATAACAAATTTTTCTACATACACAACATTTTGTGGGGCCCACACTTTTTGAAGAAAAAAAAAAATTAGGACACGCAAAACAAATTTTTATAACATTACACAATCACTTTTCCTACAACATAACTCTTATAAAATCCTATATTTATTGACTTTTTATGTGTCTGCATTCTTACCCTGTTAACTAACATTAATTGGCTCCTCTTGTCGACCATTTCTTAATGGGTAGGGGTGTAAATGAGCTAAGTCGACTTACAAGGGTCTACGGCTTAACCTATATTAGGTCAGACGACCTATTACTAATAGTAAAATAGAATAGGCCTAGATTTTTAAAAAACCTATTTAGAAAATAGGCCATAGACTTTTTTGTACGTGTCGAGCCTATAAGCCTACAGACCGACCTATATCATATTATTTATTTTAAACAAAATAAATAATATTATTATTTTAATAATTTTGAATAATAAAATAATATTATTTTAGTTATTATTTTAATTATTGAATATTTAATAGGTTTAAACAGGCTAACAGGCCTTCTGAAGCACGGACTCAACAGTTTTTTAAAAAAATACGTGTCTGACACGTGTCGGACACGGACACGCTCCGACACGCGTCCGACACACGGTCAATATTTCCGGACACGTTGACTATTTGGACACGCGAATTTGACCGAATCGGACACGGTCAAAGGGCAAAAATGTAAATTTTTTGAAATTTTTATAAAATTAAAATAAGAGTAAACACCTTTTTTAGTCCCCGTCAATATCTACGAAGTCCTTTTTAGTCCCTGGCAATAAAAAAGGACCAAATTGGTCCCTGAAATTACAAAAAAAAAGGTCATGTTAGTCCTTATGTCAACTCCCAAATATGTAGAGTGGCCCTTTTCTTGTACTTTCAGGGACCAATTTGGTCCTTTTTTATTGCCAGGGACTGAAAAGGACTTCGTAAATATTGCCAGGGACTAAAAAGGGTGTTTTACTCTTAAAATAATTCTAAAAAAAAACAGACAGACACAAACACAGCTCTGTCTCCATAGCCGTCTGCTTCAACCTTCTTCCTCACGTTGTTCTTCGTCGTTCTTGTTGAAGAGGGTGGTGGTTTTTTGCTAGCTTCTAAACCCATTAACTCAAGATATGTGGTGGCTAGAGTCCATTTAGTGTGATTGAGAAGAGAAATGAGAAGGGTGGATGTGAGTATGACTATGAAAGAGAGAGAAGTTGTTCAACAAAGAAAATGGCAGAGTGAAAGAGTAACTCAGTAAAGTGGAAGACAAAAGGAGAGATTTGAGCTGGGCTATACGTGTAGCTTCTATCTCTGTGTCTAAAACCAAAAAAATTGGATATTAAAATAATAGAGGTAAAATGTCAGCCACAAGAAAGATTGGGATATTAAAAAAAAACAAAAAATAATGAAGGTAAAATGTCAGCCACGAGAGAGATTGTTCCACTTTTATGTTTTTATACTTTCTTGTGTATTTGATGAGTGTATTATATAAAAAACTATATCACATATATTGAAATTATTATTTAATATCAAAATGTGTCCTAACGTGTCGAAAATTAACATTTTTTTAAATTAACGTGTCGGCGTGTCGTATCGTGTCGTGTCCGGTGTCCGTGTCCCTGCATCATAGAACAGGCCTAGGCCAAGACTTTTATTTTTTAAATATAGGTCAGACTATACTTGTAATTTGAGGTCTACGCAGGCTAATAGGCCATATCAAACCTAATATTTTTCACACAGACCTGACCTATTTAAGCCAAAGTCTAGCCTATTTACACCCTTGGTCATGCGGCGAGCCTTCTGTTCTGCTAATCTTTTTTTTTTCTACCCAAAAAATTCATATGTCGTTATATTCAGGTAGGAAAAAAATAAAATTCAAATCCCTCGTTAGCGAACAATGATCAGTTGATCACATCAACTGCAATATATGGAGAATCTGATAATGGACATCTAATAGAGGAAAGTTTATCAATTGAGTTTTTACTATAGAGATTGATATCGGTGAAGATAAAGAAAATTCGAGGACGAATCTTTTTTTAGTAGGAGATAATGATGAACTTACAATTTACTCGTTGCACATGGCCACCCTATTGATTCAAGAAGCTCAGAATCAAGTAGAATTTTGATCCAATAAATATGACTCAATTGTTAAAAGAAGCAGTGATTTGAAATGTAATAAATTAGATCAAATCTAAGTCCACATGAAGCAGCATATATGATTGTGATTTATTAGACAATAAAAGGAAAACAACACATTTGACATTATTTAAGATCTAAGATTTGTGACATATTTTGAATGATTCAATTGTAATTACTTATTTATTTTTAGAAGTTAATTACCGTTATATTTATTTAAGGAATTTTTCTTATTTGTAGGATTTCAGATTTTGAATTTTGGATCGATTTGTAATTAGTCCATAAAAGGGTGCTTATGTCTCTTATTGAAGGAGTTAAATTTTGTTATTTGGTTAATTGAAATTTATAATAAGAGGGTTACTCTTTTACTAAATTCCAACTTTTTATTTAGTTACTTTTTCTATGCGTTTTCGGTATCAAAACCACAATGGTCTAAACGCTTCCGTAGATCCAATTGTGCCTACAGCATCCATATAAAGTAAAATTTAAAGTTTGGTTGTAATATCTATATATAAATCAGAGGAGGGTTATACTTATCATTTTTTTTTATCATTTTTTACAATCACTTTGTTATGGTTGAATCAAAATCAAATTAATAATTATAAAATGGCATAAGTGAAAGCCATTAATTTAATTTTGATCCAATTATAACAAAGTGGATATATAAAGTGGTAAAAAAAATATAACACCTTATCCCTAAGCCAAATCCTTCCGTATGCGAATGTGAAAATATGTTATTTTTGCATCAATCAAGTAAAATTAGTAATAAATATCATAAAAGATGGCACCAATTGTTACGTGAATGATCCACTTTCCCTTTTTTAAAAGGCAACATTCGCCACCCAATAACAGAAATCACTGCACACTCTCTGCCCCCCGACCTTTTTTATTTTGGTTTCTCAACGTATCTCAACAAAGTCTTTTCTATACACACGGCCAGAAATCAAACTCCTATCAGCATGTTTAAAGAACCCAGCTATTTACCAACTATTATAGGCTTTGTTGTTTCTGCCCGTGACCTTTGTTTGTTTGTGTTTTCACCTATATCAATATCCTGGAAAATCTTTCATGTTTTGTAGGAATAGAGCTATAGTTTAGGAAAAAATGTGTGTCATTTAAAAGAATGTAAAGTTGTGTTATTGTAAGTGAGAGAAAGAGATAAATCATGAGAGAGTAGAGTGGAAAAAAAGATAAATGTATGAGTCTCACTTTTTTGTGATAGTAAAATAACACAAGTTGTGTAATTTAAAAGGACAAATACTTTTTTCATAATTTTTAAGAAAAAAAGGTTAATAAGCTATAATCTTTAATAATGATTGCTTAATCGAAACTCCTTGATTATATTTGAAATCAGATAGTTCCATACTTCCGTCTCATTGATAATGCACATCAAGTAGCAAAAATTTGATTTATCAAGTTGAAAATGATCAGTAAATTGCTTCAATTCGCTAAATGAACGAAACTCCTCTCAGTTTTATAAATCTCCTTGGAAATGGTGTTAAAAGTTAACAGATGAATAAAAATTTCTATCATAAAATAACCGACAAATATAATAATCCATAATTATGATTTTTCATTTCTGCAAATTAATCAGAGTAAATTGTAAATCACCAACAACTAAGGATTCATTATCTTATTGTGTTAATGGGAAATCTGTGAGTAACCATATCCTTTTCTTGCATTAGGTTCTTTCAATTTGAAATTTTATTCAATGTCAATGCCAAGTATCGAATCAAATACAAATTAAAGACAGTAGAAATAATATTAATAGTCAATAGGATCAAATCCACCGTGGTCAATGAAAAATAGATTATCTTCATCTAATCCTGTGATCAATCCTATTGAAAATAAATTATTCAAAATAAAATATTACATCAAATAATAAAAATTACTTCCTAATTAATTTCTATTATTTACCGGAAATCACTTCTATTCTTCTTCTTTTTTACCCACGGAGAGCCAAATACTCTGTTTCCTGCATTTTCTCCTCCCACAGCAGTCTCCTTTGCTTAGCAATGAAGTCCGTACAGGCATCATTTAATTCGTCTTCATTCAAGTGTTCCACAGGGCACATTCTCCTATGCTCTTGCTCGTGAAAACCTGTGTTGAATCTCTTTAACTCTCGCGGAGAAGCCACCACCTTCAGTGGCTCGTAAGTCTCTGACTGAACTTTCCGATAACACTTTTTCTTCGAAACCTTCACTTCATTTGTAGTTACGTTTGTGCAACGTGTGCTGGTCTCAGTAACTGAGGAGCCACCACCTCGCCGAGATGGTGGTGGCTCTTGTCGAGGAGCCACCACATTCAATGGCTCATAACTCTTTGACTGAACTCTCCTATAACAATTTTTCTCCGAAACCTTCACTTCATTTGTGGTGGTCTTAATAACCGAAGAGCCACCACCTCGTGGCGGTAATGGTTCATTACTATCTGACTGAACTCTCTGATGACAACAGTTTTTCTGTGAAACCTTCACTTCATTTGTAGTCATGTTTGTGTAACATGTGGTGGTCTCAATAATTGACGCACCGCCACCTGGTCGAGGTGGCGGTGGCTCTCGCCGAGGAGAGACCACCTTCAATGACTCATAACTATTTGATTGAACTTTCTGATGATAGGTTTTTTCCGAAACCTTCACTTTGTTTGTGGTGATCTCAGTAACAGATGAGCCACCACCTCGTCGAGGTGATCTGGTTGAAGAGCCATCACCTCGTCGAGGTAGCTGTGGCTCTCGGAGAGGAGAAACCTCCTTCAATGACTCATGATTATTTAACTGGACTCTTTGATAATTGTTTTTATCCGA